TTAAATGTATCAAGTTGACTTTGTACCGAAGATTGAAATCATTTGGCATGAAGTATATGCGATCTCAAATTTCTTTCCATCCTGAATATGCGAAACATCACTTCATCTCTGATAATCACCATTATCAAAGACTGAAACAATGGAGAAGGAAGACTGCCATTCTGTTTAATAATTTCAGTTATACTTATCACAGGAATTATTCAATTCTGAACGATTTTGTTACCACGTAAACCAAGTATCAGATGATAACGACTTTTGTAGTCGCATCTTCGAAGGATGTGGCAAATGTCGGCCGACGTTTTTGAATGTCATCAACTTAGAAACCACTCTAAAACAATTAGGAGTGCAGCTACAATCCTCATTGAAGCATCCCCTCGTGTTCCTTTTCATATAGGCCACATAGTTTATATATCAATTACTCACGCGTTTATTAACAATACCGCTTTATATCTGCATGACGAAAGTGTAAATATTAGGTGGGAAAACTAGGACACAGAATGAAGTTATTAAGATTCATTCGAGCGATTACATAACACATCGGCTGTGTGGTGGAAAATGAGAATAATCAATGAGTGATGTAAATGCTGGAGTTGGTTACACAACGAGTCATAACAGTGAAATGTGAAAAGTCCTAACGTTAAAACATCATAATTTGTTCGAGAATGGAGGTTGCTGGTCATTTGTGAGGTTGTGTAGTTATGAAAGTAAACAATGTCAGGAAAGTAATTGTTCATTTTTATTCTGAAGAGGCAAATTTTCACATACGTAGATGGATTCAAATAACTTCTCCCATAGAAATCAGTTGAACTGGTATAGCGAATTCAGTGATGTAAGCAGGAGCATTATTTAACTTAGCCGCCGTAATGATTGGTAATAAAGATTCACCTTCCCCAAGAGATGTTATCATGTTAATTGATTCAGTTACGCTGTGGTTAAAGGGTTTGCTGAACACTCACAAAATACACTACTTAACCACATTGCATACGACTGCTGAGTGCCTGATGAATCTCTTTTTGATTCTCCAATCACCAAGGAAATTCGTATCATTAATAGGAATCAGCACAAACTTCATCATTCTCGTATCTACGTAAAGCGACAGATAACGACCGCATATATCTTTGGAAATACCGTCGAGTCACCGGATAAAAATATGTAGTTTCTCGTGTTATTTTGGTAACTGGATATGTATATTCAGCTTAGCCCGTATAACCTACTCTCTCTGTGTTCCACTATACCAGACACTTACTGTCTGAATGTCATTCAGCCTCATTTCGTCTCACGTGACGTGGTTAGTCTGCCATTTGAGCAATTCCTGACAATGCATTTTATATTGGAGTTGCATAGCTCACGTGCTCAGGTCAGCGAAATTGAGTTGTCGGTCTTGTTAGACTTTGAAGTTGATGTTGTTCTCGTTAAAACTGGTGAAAGTTTAGTGTAGTCAAATGCGTTATCTATCATACTTCATGTTTTTGATAACCTGAAAATCGTTTCATTCCAGCATGCTGACAAGTTTCCGAAATTTGACTTTCTCACTCCACGTGATTCATTATGTCGAGACGTTCAAATCTCATGTGATGTATGTCTTGAACTAAGCTGAGGATTACATAGAATAATTTTACTTTTTGTTCCAAAGTTACACTCCTGAAGTCGCGTAAGCAAAAGAAACTTTAAAATATTATCTAACTGCCTAGATATGACTTATGGTTTTGTCAGTATACTGATGTCAACCTAAGATATATGCTTTTAACAATGTTTCCTAATTTTCATCCTCTCTAGACCATCCATTGCACATGGTTAAGATGACGCGAATGAACGCGGGATAATATTACTGCACATGTCACATTCTTGTGAGGCAATAAAACATATTGAAGTGCACTTCAGTATGTAGCAGTCTCAAATTGACTCATGGATTTATCTGTCTGCTGTTTTTCTCATGCGCTTTCATGGAATTCCACTTTGCTTAACGAACAAATTCCACATTATTTAGATAGCAAAGATGGTTTTATAATAGCAACATTTCTATTGTATGCCGAATGTCATTAAGTTTCAATTCAATTCCTAATAGAGGATGTTGAAATAAGCTTGTATGATCAGAGGAATTCTCCTGCCTAATCTGTATGCCACTAACCATGCAAAACCACACAGAAAAACTAAACTTTTTTCGCGGTGAAACTACCAAACCAAGAAGAACCTTCTCTGTCATATTGAAAAGTGAATACTGAAATACTATTTCATTCGAAATTCACGTTTATGCATATTTTTATTTAGTCAAAGCTTCACATCATTTCCTGCCTAACTGTTGAAAGTTTATTCATCGAATAGTTGTCTACGTGTTAAGCTAGTGAATTCAGCTGACGTCAAATTCGTGTAAAAAATACTAAATGGTTTGTAGAATAAGCTGATGCTGCACCAAAGATCAATATAATCCCTCCAATCTTACGATAAACGTCCAAGACGAAATCACCTCTATGCAAATATCTTCAATATTAGCATACATTTTTATGTGATCAAACCTGAGTGAGTTTCTGCATGCATTTCGCCAAGTAATTTTAGCCGTTAAAACTTTCATATAAACATATTTTGAACGTATAATACAGGAGATTTGTAGCTTAGGAGGATGATATGACATCTCTTTGACTTCAAATTCAAGTAAATATTGAATATGTTCCCAGTTAGACAATGAAAGCTATACGAATAAATCATACTTTGTAATATGGCTAATTGTTTTATTCAATTCATCAAATTATCGACTTCTCACGTTATTTCTATAATAATAAAATTCACGTTTTGTTTGCTAAAATTCATGCTCACACAAAACGATGTGGGAGGCAATGAAGCTTGGAAAGATAAATCATTGTTTCAACTTCATAAAACGATTACAAGAGAATTAACCATGACAACAGCCATCGTTAGTCTCTTTACTAACATCCTAGTCTCCTAGTCAGTCATATGTCTGGAGAAAAAAGGAAGGTTGATTGAGGGCTTGCAACCATAAGCAGGTCTCACTTTATATGAAGGACACAAGGTGAATAAACAAGTGCGCGATCTATGACGATAGTAATTCACACTCATTCACAAAACTACGTGTGAACATCCTATTTTCTGCAGATGTTCATAAATCGGTGGGATATGTGGTGAATAAATTAATGGGACATCCGCCAAAGTTGCTGAATTTGGTTTGTTCATGGTTGAATATCAAAGTTCTGTGAAATTCGCAGAGAAAACTGCAGCTATTCTTCAATAATTTGGTTCGCATTTCACAGCATTTTTAAATATGTTTTGACATTAACTGCAATCGTGTTATCCATTTTTAATCGACCAACCTCCTGATAATTTACTAATTCCCATAATATTCAGCTGAGAATGAACGGAACTTTCACTTTCAATGTATAATGATTACGTCACATCTATTCTACGTATCCGTGAATTATATTAAACTGGTAGACGCCACACACTATAGAATAATCATACATTTCTAAGTGAATGTGTAAGCTAAGTGAAAAAATAGCAACTGAAGAGAACGAAGGTATCAGCCACCTTCAAATGTGCAATCAGATCAAGGTATTGAAACCAAGTTAAAAACACCATATTTGTGAAGACATGCAAGAATGCTTAACGAGATACTTCCTGTATAATTTTCTATTTTTATTATGAAAGCCTAATTCTGTTTCTCTTGTTTCTTCCAAACTAGCCGAATTAATGCAATTTACCGTTTGAGGTCAATGATTCATTCGCTTCTCTTAATTTTATAAAATCTGTTCAAAATATGAATATGGAATAAAAGGTTGTATTTTTCAACTATATGAACAATAATTTGCTGATGCCTTGTAATATTGAGAAATTGTAATATTCGTCAACAATAAAACACTTGGATTCTGCAACTCATAAATTGGCTTCGAGTTCAATCAACATAACATTTTCATTCATGGGGAACATTACCAAGAAAGCAATAAACGATGCTGCTATCATCATGAATGCCAAACTTGAAAATAAAATGCTTCCACACTCCGTTGTTTTCGTTTTGTCCTCCCATATCAGTTTCACGATTGTATAAATGAACTGAAACACGGAACAATTTGAAACATCACCAGTGAATTAATGTACGTTTAAATAGGGAAAATTGATTGAACCATAAGGTTAGTGTAGTGTGTCATTCAACTGAAATAAATTGATTGTTATCTCACATCATTACTTAAGTTTACTCAGGTTTCTCTACTCAGTATCTCGTTTACTCACACGTATTGCGTAGTATTCAAACATGCTGTCTCAGTGATTTCATAATTTGTGCCTGAGTTGTGCAATGAGTTTAGATAATGAAAGCAATTCTGAGAAAGCTGCTAAAAGTCTGCTCTCCAGAATTGACGGAATTCATTAAGAATTATGATGTACATCACATTCATCTCATTGACTCCATATTTATTTCACAGTATCACTATGTGTGAAACCCCTGATAAAGTTGAATTATCTGTGATACTCTAATTATACGCATTTCGTTGTCAACGAGGTTGAAGGCGTTTGACAGTATGCCATCGACGTTGTTTTCGTGCTTCTTTACAGTCATCAACATGACGTGACTGCAACCTCCATAGGAATGATGATTCAGATATTCGAACAAGCACCACTCAGTTTTTGACGCAAATCTTCATAATTGTTAGCACCGCATTGCTTCCAGTCACCAGATATCACTTAAAACTGCACAGCTTGCTGATCGAGATAGTGAATCTGGTTGATTGACTTCAGTTGATTTCTCACTTATCTATGGAGTAAGTCTGTCTGATTTATCTTTCGACGACAATTGTGGAATCATCTTTCACTTATTTTACTGAGAAACACACAATTTAGAATATTCCTTTTTGTTTTGGAATCTTCAGTATACAATGCATAAACGAACGAGTGTTTTTTGACCACCTAGTCACCACTTTTGTATCATCAGAGGTCTCATCATTTTTCATGGTAATGACACTATAATAATAATCTCTAATCGTAGCACAAAACCTAGCGCTTACACCAAAATTTGATCCCAACTGGCAATGGTTTGCAATCAATTAAATAAAATGAGGACTAATGTATTTCATAGACCTGCGTATTTTTCTTACTTAGGTTCAGAGATGCATGTGATTAGATTTCGATGGTGATTTCATCAACTGACTATCATGTCACTGCCTTCCATCTCAAAAGTTTTAAAAAACGGTAAATGAGTCAATGAGAATCATCAGTTACATTTAGTCACAGTAACTTACTATCGCCAGTAGCAGGATTACACATCCAAGCAACAATTTAGTGGCTATCTGTGAAGAGATAAGTAAAAGAAACTGGTTAAAAACAAGGACGCGTGTATAGGACACAATCAGCACATGACCACTTTGTAAAATTCACATGCAAATTTCACTGATGAAAATGAACCTGGAATAAAAAATACTTGTTTGACAGTATTCTAAGGTGAAACTGTTTGCAGAATATCAGAAGATGCTTGACGAGTGGTGAAAGGATTTTCTCAAACATTATGAAGTTATAGTGATTTTAATCTTTTGAACTGTTCTTGTTGTTCTCGACTAACACACATCTAATGAGCAAAATAACCTCGACTATTAGTTCTATCCAGATAGCAGACATCGTCAGGGTGATAAAACAAGTTCTAAAACACACATCGGTCGGTCGGTTTGCAACATAGAACTTTGCACATATGTGCGGCAGTTCAAGTCGCCACACTCCCTCCGTGTAGCACGCAAAGCAAGAGAAGAAAGTAGAAGAAATGCATAATATAGACAGTAAACAGAGGTGTGAGACAAAGGAATAGTAATAACGAAGAACAAAACAGTTTAATTGGAAATCATAAGTCACAAGGAGTGGATGCATCTGCGCCACTGAGAACGATTTTGAGCCATGTCACCAATTGTTTCCAACCATTGGTTTTTACCGTCCCGAGGACCCCAACCAGGAAGTCTACACCTTCCTACGTGGCTGGCTTTGACTAACTGTTGTAGATTTCATTGACTGGTGCCATGTTTTGGTTTGACCGCCGCTAGCTCTTTTCCAGCCTGGCCCTATATCAGCTAACATTGCCCATTGTCGAGGAAGGCGATGACTAGGCATACGTAATACATGTCCTAACCATCTCAGTCGATGTAATTTCACAGTTACCTAGCACTCGACGCCTAACCTGAATATTGCTCACCTTATCATACCACTTCACGCGGGAGATAGAACACACATACCTCCAAATGAGACTGAATCACTGAGAAAATCACAAGAATGATGAAAATCGACCCCATAATTCCCGAAAAGACAAATGAGAATTTATAGCTCAGCAGTGTAAATGACTTCGAATATATAGCTGTCAGAAATATCAAAGTGGCAAACACCGTGTCCAACGCAAGTGAAGTTAGACACCATTTCACCTCAAAACACGTTGTTACCATGCCACAAAGTATCGAAATCACAATATTCTGAAATGAAAAGAAGACGTTGTTAACAAAGTGGATACCGCACAATGAACTTTTAAAAAAATAAATGACATATTATACATGGCTTAATAACATGATTGGGAAATACATTATGGTAAAATCATTGCTTCGAAAAGTGTATCCAAGTACCTGTATACTTGTTGATTTCAACCGTTGAATAAAGTTCCTTTCGAATGCTCATATTTCTGAGTCGACCAAAGTCAGATGGCATTTCAGAGAACTTGAAATTAATTAGCAGTAAAGTAAGATTATCTGACGACAGACCACCGAATTGGGAGAGATTGCAATTGACGAGATGAATATACAGGCAACAGAGGTCAAGTAAACAGGACTTAATGATTTCATTGAATTTCGGTAGAACCTTTCAATGGAATACTCTGAGTACACTGATAAATGTATATGCTATCAGAAATGCACAGAAAGGTATGTGCAATGTGGTATATGTGTTAGTTATCAGTCAAATAACCTCCAGTGTTCACCTCATATTATATATATATATATATATATATATATATATAGCGCTGTTTGTAGAGTATTCAGCTGTAAACTTCCACCGAAATTTGATGAATTCAATAAGTCCTGTTTTATTATCACCTGTTTCCTATATTAAATATGCATTGATAAAGAAATGTTTCAAATGCAGCTTTCACCAGTCGAAGTAAAATACCAAATGACGCGATACTAATCACTGAGTTGTTGTGCAAACGCCTGTTATTCCAGCCTTGATATAAATTGAAACAAGGAAATATGCAATCCGTTCCACATGCAGCAGTAAATCCAATTTGATCTGTGTGAACAGTCCTCAGTGATGGATTTCAAGCCAAAAGAATGTTAATTTAAAACTGTGAAGACAAAAGAATAGCACGCTTTGATTCGAACACAGATGCATTCATGGATAGTTAGAGGCAATCCTCTACTGTATTGATAGATGATTTATGTACTTCAGATGCAAATTCTAATGGAAAGTTTAGATGTGGGCAGACTACCATCTTGATTTCAAACTGGTTGGTATATATTTCACACGATACTGAAATAGATATCAAGTCTTCTTTCAAATGAATCATAAAATAAAAGTCGTTGAAATACATCAGTGGAACGAGAATGACTCACCGTTATAACTGCAAATATGATGTCCACTGCCAGTGAGATTTGGAGTCTGAAAATAACAGCCCAAATAATATGTGCACAAGCTAACGCCAAACTACGAAATCGGTGACACCTTGCATTTACGACTTACCCCAAGCCCAGATAAATCCAGTCATACTGACCAATTGCCTTTATGCTTTCTCTGTACATTCCGATATTTCTTTATTCAATAACAAACTTACACAAAAGTGAAAAAGAGTACAATTATGACCATTACAACACACTGCAAAATCGTGCACAAGAGAGAAACATTGCCTGTTTTTGTTTAGTCAACTAGTATCAGTAATCATTTTGCCTCATCTTCATGTTCATTTTAGTCAGTGGATGTAGAATGATAATTTGCAAATCTGTTTACAACGCTCTTCTTTCGCCTATCTAAATAATAAAATATCTCAGATAAAATGAATGAAATTTTTCCTATACAGCTAACTCTTCGTGGAAACAATTTTGACTAATCCGATCAGCCGTTGTTTCTCAAAGCAGCAATTATTGTAAAAACTGAGTTTCCTTGATTAAGGTTTAGATAGACTAACAGTCAAACTGCCATAACTGGTAATTAACACCAATGGTGTGCTGCTGTTGGAAATAGTCATTGGCTGCATATCAGCGATCTAGGATTGGTCATGATAATTCGTGATCACCTTTCATTGGACAGTTTTTCTGGTTACATTTACAGTTATCAGTGTGATGTATTTATTTTTTTTTATTTTTGATTACAGCCTAATGCCACATCGTATTTTCAGTACAAGTATGGAATTTTCAGCATGGATATCGGTAGCCCGAATTTTGCAGGCCGATCATAGATATCGGGTATGCGTCGGCGGGGGATCGAACCCCGAACCATGCGCATGGTCGGCGAGAGACCTAACCACTGTGCCACCGACGCACATTTCGTATGTATTTTTGTTAACGCTGTGTTACCAAATAAATCGGGAATCGTATTGTGCTTATGAGAAAATGCGCATCTCGTGAATTTCCCTACGAAAATGAGCAAGTCTTCGTTGATTTCCTTCAGGAGCATTTGTAACATATTAAAGTTTATGTTTACGGAAAAGCTTTGAAGGACCATTATCACTTATTTCTCATTTAGTGCAGAATACAATTGCTTTGATATATATAACCTGGTATTTCGGCTAAGATCATATTTTAAGAGTTGTATGAGGACAGTTGCTTTCTTAATCAATGGTATATTGATCTTCTGTGAACTCTAATGCATTTTGATGCACTTTATTTTATCCACGTATTCTTCTATACAATCAGGAAAAATATATCACTAATGTCTTCATTTACTGTATCTACAGTGGACGTGGTTTTTCTTCAAACTTGATATGAAATTTTCATTACTCATGATATTTAGTTATTTTTCAATTGCATTGTTTTCATTCTTTCCCATCACGTATAGAAGTTATCTTGAATTGAGATTTACTCAAAAATTTAAAATATGTTACATCACAAAATTTATTGATCTCCTTTTATTTTACTTTCTGAAGGATGGACACTCACTTTTTGCATTATGTAATTGTGATCTATTACTTGAAAATTTAATGACATATCTCTGGAAACATTCCCTTCGGTATCTCTGAAAAGAACAACTATTCACTGAACGCCTTTTATTCTCCATGTATTCAGCTTTAAGAACTAGCTGGCAGATCGACAGCAGAGGTTGCGTGATCGCGTAGAAAACTGATAGCTATCTATTCATCATAGTATTTGTGATCTGAAGTTGTGATTTTTTCGAAAAGGTGTTCTCACAGCCTGTGTTTCTATGCAGCTGTCCTGAGATGTAAAACACACAAACCCACAAAACAATCTGTGTAGAATGGTGAGGAAATAAACAAGTGGTGATTGAAGTTTGCATTAAATAGCTGTCTGATATTCTCACATTTCTCTTCGGTAATATTACAGGAATATTAAGTGAACGGTACATATGATGGTGGTGTATCAGGTGCTTGGGTATAACAAAATGACAATCGAAAATCATATAACGCGACAAACAGTCATAATTTTCTAATTGTAATACATTTCATCAGCGTCCCACGCCAATTAAAATATTAAGTCACGTAGTCCTTGCACTGGACGCAGAACTCCGCTCGCTGGAACAAGTATACACGAAGCCACACTTATAAGTTTATGGTGGCTACCTTCATATGAAGAGAGGAGTAAGACAAGGCTGACTACTATCAACCAGCGATGATAATCCTGATTGTAGTGAGGTGAATTATGCGGCGCATACTGAGGGGGGGGACCAGAAGAGAGGCATGCGTCAGACCGATAATAAGACTCTGGAAGATATGGATTTTGTCTGACGGTTTACATCTAGTGCTCCATGAAGTTGAAGATCTACAGGCGAAGACCCACACGTTGACAGAAGAGGCAGGTAGTGAAGATAAGACTTCAGGTGAACATGGAGATACTTACTTAGCTAACCACAGCAAGAAAAACAAGCATGAATCAATATGAATGAGAGAAAATTGAAGGAAGTCACCTCTATCACTCACTCATTGAAGCAGAATCATCATTTCAACTACAGTCAAGAAGCACCGATGACGATGTCAATGTCAACGTTTATCATCAACAGCTGTCTTCGCTGGCTGTATATTGAAGATAAGGAGGTCGACCAGTACGGATTAGTAAGCAACTAGGAACTCTGTGATCTAACCAACAGAACAAACAACGAAGATCCTGTTCCCAGACAAATATTGCGAAGGTAATGGAGATGGATTGGACGCACACTGAAGAGACCATTTTCAGGGACATCGCCCGCCAGGCATGGTCTCCAGTGGAGTTTGAAGCGAAAGCGACTATTTGAGAGTTCGAAGGCGAGGAGGAAATGAAAGCTTGAGAGTGATGGTAGAGGCGGTTGAAGAGGACTGCAGAGAACAGAGATGTGCTACTGAAGTCCTAGATCCAACTTGGAACCACAGTGAATAATAACTGTAGATAATAATACCTTTAAATATCTAACGCTACACACACATACACACACAAACTGATCAATAGATTTGTGTACTGTTTATGGAGATAAGTACTCGTCATATTTGAGAACTTTTTCCATTGACAGGTGGCTTGTTCAAACAAATCAGTTCGCGTCCAACCTCTTTTGTCGCTACTGATGTACTGTTTCATTGGAAATCAGACAAAGCCCAAATTATGAATAAAATGTATAGATTCAGTCGAGTTATTCAATCTAATCAATAATATGCACGTAATGCATATGCGATCGTAAGTTAAAAATCCCAATCCTAACAGTCCAGAGGGAAGTTCTATTGCGTGTTCTATTTGACTAAATGAGCGTACACGTATTCCCTAGTACTTCTTCACGTTTATCAATGTGCGCAGACGTTGTGGCTACTCGACGCCCACAACGTAAAATCAGAAGGCACTTGTGAAGAGTATAATCGTGTATTATAGCCGTAGTCAAATTTCAAAATTGTATCAAGGTAACGTTCAACAGTAAATTGGCAAATGTTTACGAAGTACATATAAAATCGATATGTGTAAACATATAATATGAGTATGCAAATTAAATTAAAAACGTATGTTTATAGTTGGTATAGGGGTACTACATAATTCCCCCACCAGAACACTGAAATATAAAAAAAATACATTTAAGTGTTCGACAATAACATGCATCAGCGTAATACGTAACAGCTACAGTACACAGAAAGCGATTTATTAAGCTGAAAATATGAGCAATTTAATGCGGTCAATAAGGCTGATAATAAATGCGATAATAAAACAAAAAATAGGATTAATGATCGTGGTAGAATATATAAGGAATGATACAATCAGCCGGGGATCTGTAGTCTGTATACGGAAACGATACGTGAATATTAAGCGCTATATGATTAAATGTAATAATACAGGGAATATCGATGTTAAAATAGTAGTGACGTGATTTACTTATGAAAATATTAATCAGTTAAATGAGTTGTTAAATGACAATTACGAATAAAGATAATAAAAATGAAAATTCGTAATAAGTTATATATTGATGATTTGTACATAACGTTTAGGCCAATGAACTCTCCTACCAGAGCGTGTAGTTTTCATAGGCTTCTCTGGCGACGTTGAAGCTTGCGTGGATGTAGCTGTTGGCACGTCGTTCAGCTGGTCTTTATTGTTGGCTTCGAAATCGTCGATGAATGCTGGTTTGCGGGAAGTCTTCGTAGCCATATTTGGTAAAAGAGACGTTTATCGATTTCTCTTCCGGCAACTAGGCTTTGCATATGCCTCATGAGTTGAGATGGGGTTTTATCACCTAACTCAACATTGCTTAACAGGCGATCGAGTGCTTGCCTATCTGAAAGCGAAGTGCATCGCAGTACCTCTTCCTTCAACTTGTCGTAAGGTGCTTCTGTGCTGGGATGAACGATGTATTGCCGTACCTGCTCGGCGACTTCGTCTGGTAGTACTGTACTCAAAATGCAGAATTTAGCTGTCTGTGACGTTAGCTTATTGCTAGCCAAATAATGTTCCAGTCGAGCAAACCAAAGATGAGGGTCTCTGGGCTTAAAAACTGGTACAGAAAGAGAAATAGTACTAACAGATCCCAGCTCTAAGTTATCAGAGGTATTGGAAGACATGTTACAATTCGTAAAAAAAAATGGTTTAAGAGTAGGAAAATGGCAAAATTTGTGCACAATAAGAATATGGCAAAACAGAAAAAATGCAATGCAGGTGCTTACCACAAATTACTGCAGGTTGTGCTATGAGCAAACACAAAAATGAGTTCGAATTGTTTAATAAATATATAGATCCGCGTGAGTTCGAATTGTTTAATAAATATATAGATCCGCGAAAGTTAGAGTTTTAATAATCCAGTAAGTGTACGACGCGTTGAGGTCAAAAAGTTGTCGTCGGAGTCAGCAATTTGTCGTCGGGATCAGCAAGTTATCGTCGGGGCTCACCAATTTATTGCGTGTTCTATTTGACTAAATGAGCGTACACGTATTCCCTAGTACTTCTTCACGTTTATCAATGTGCGCAGACGTTGTGGCTACTCGACGC